CCCCACCCTCCCGCAGGGCTCCGCAAATAAATAAATAGACAATCCCGGGAAAATTAACCGTGTGAGGAGCCGCAAATGAGGTGGAAAATTTTAATGGTTCGGCATTTAAAGCTGTGTGACAGGAGGAGGGGGGGGGAGGGAGGTCAGTCCCATTGCCCCCCCCCACCCCTCATTTCCACCATTCCCGGAGCAGCCTCCGCTTCTCGGGGTGCTGGGAATGGGGGGACACCCCAGTGTGGGGGTCCCGCGCCTCCTTCCCATCCCCCACGGGGTTCCCTGTACCCCCCACAACCCCCTCAGCACCCCCAAGAAGTGTGGGGGGGGGAAAACACGGGGACCCCTCCTCACTCCTCCCCTCCCTCCCCTTTCCCCCCCAATTCCGTCCCCGGTACCCCAAAATCCACCCGCCAGGGGGAGCCGCTGCTTTCCCCGCCTCATTTGCATATTTTTGCATACGGCCGCGCCGCGCGGCGTGCCGGCAGCGCCCCCTCGCGGCGGAACCGGGCAAAGCTCGGCCACACCCACTCCGCAAGCCCCGCCCACTCCGCCCGCCCGTCGCCGTGGTTACCGCTGACGTCACGGTGCCGTGACGTCACGGGGCGCAGCCCCCGCTGCCGGGCACCTGTCGGTGGCTCCGCGCCCGCCCCCGCCGCGCTCCAAGGTCCCGTCGTGTCCCCAGCACCGTCACCTGTCGCCCGCCGCCCCTATTCGGGCCCCGCCGGGCCCCGCGCCAGCGCCCGCCCCCCCCGGGACGGGGCGGGGGGGTCCCGGTGCCGCCCCTTCCCCTCCCACCGCCCGGGCACGGCTGAGCCCCGCTGGGGACAGCGGCACCCCACAGTGACCAGTGACCAGTGACCCCCGAACTGGGGCCAGCCAGCGCCCACAATGACCAGTGACCCCCCCATTGGGGCCAGCGGCACCCCACACTGACCAGTGACCAGTGACCCCTGAACTGGGGCCACCAGCACCCCACAGTGACCAGTAACCTCTCCATTGGGGCCAGGAGCACCCCACACTGACCAGTGACCAGTGACCCCTGAACTGGGGCCACCAGCACCCCACAGTGACCAGTAACCTCTCCATTGGGGCCAGGAGCACCCCACACTGACCAGTGACCAGTGACCCCTGAACTGGGGCCACCAGCACCCCACAGTGACCAGTAACCTCTCCATTGGGGCCAGGAGCACCCCACACTGACCAGTGACCAGTGACCCCTGAACTGGGGCCACCAGCACCCCACAGTGACCAGTAACCTCTCCATTGGGGCCAGGAGCACCCCACACTGACCAGTGACCAGTGACCCCTGAACTGGGGCCACCAGCACCCCACAGTGACCAGTGACCCCTGAACTGGGGCTACGGGCACCCCACAGTGACCAGTGACCTCTCCATTGGGGCCAGCAGCACCCCACAGTGACCAGTGACCAGTGACCCCTGAACTGGGGCCAGCAGCACCCCACAGTGACCAGTGACCAGTGACCCCTGAACTGGGGCTACCGGCACCCCACAGTGACCAGTGACTCCTCCACTGGGGCCACCAGCACCCCCACAGTGACCAGTGACCACTGATCCCCCCCACTGGGGCCACCGGCACCCCCACAGTGACCAGTGACTCCTCCTCTGGTGCCCACTGACACCCCCACCGTGACCACTGACCCCCCTGCGGCCACTAGCACCCCCGCAGTGACCAGTGAGCCACCCCCACAGTGACCAGTGACCCCTCCCCTCCCAGGGGTGCCCCCCGCGGTGGGCACTGTCACCCCAACAGTGGCGCCTCCCAAGGGGTCACCGATGTCCCCCCAGTGACCCCCAGAGCGGAGCCACCGGTGCGCCCCCACCCCATTAAATCCACACCGGAAAGCGGGGGATGGGCACAGCCGTGTATTGCCAAAACCCGGGAGCACCGGGAGCACCGGGACGGGACCCCCCCGACCCCCAGTGTCCCCCCCCTCGCTCTGGGGGTCCCCACAGCCCCTCTGGGGGTGCCCCTGTTGCATCCAGCGTCTCTGGAGGCACCAAAACCTCCCGCGGGGGAAGAGCCCTTGGGGCTCCTCCTGTCCTCCCCATCCTGCCCCGGTCCTGGGGGGGGACAGCAGCCCCCCAGGGACACCCCAGGGAGGGGGCAGCAGGAATGGGGGTGCCCCCCCCCGACCCCAAACCTGTCCCGCAGCCTGGGCCCCCCATCCCAATCCAGGGGTCCCCATGCCCAGGGTGCCCCCGTCACATCCCCACCCCGCAGCCTGAGTTTTTCCACCCCATCCCGGGGGTCTCCGTGTCCCCCATCCCGGGGGTCTCTGTGCCCCATCCCAGGGGTCCCCCCCCACCCCCCCAGCCCCCCTCAGATCTCCTCCCGGAAGTCCACAGGGAACAGCCCCACTTTGCGGCCCGTGAAGACTTTGACGTAACCGTTCACCTCCTCCCCCTTCTGCACCACGATCTGCGGGCGAGAGGGGGTCGGGTGAGACCCCCGGGACCCCCCCCAAGACAGGGGGACCCCCCCAGAGCAGGGGGGTGGAGGCAGAGCTGATCTCATCCGAGGTGGGAAGTTTTGGGGTGCCGATGCTGCTTATGGGGGGTAGCTGTGATGGGGGGCTGGGGAGGGGTTTGGGGGTCTCCGGGTGGTGTTGAGGGGGGGGTCCCCGTCTCACCTGATCCTTTTTGAGCGTGATCTGCCCGATTTCCCGGTTGCCCACGAAGGAACGCGTCACCTTGTGCACCCGCTCGCCTGCCCGCACCCGGATGATGAAGTTGGGGGGGAAATATCCGACTTTCTCCCCGATCTTCCCCTGCAGGGAGCGCAAGGGGGGATGGGGGCCGATGTGGGGGGTCCCAGAGCCTCCCCCTCGCCAGGTTGGGGGGTGACAGCAAATTTGGGTGCCCCCCCTGGCAGTGCCACGTGCTTTCCCAGCCTCACCCGCCACCACTCCTCGTTGGAGTCATCGACCACCGTGATCTTCTCCCCCGGCCTGGAAGGGAAGGAGCGGGGGGGGGTCTCTGAGGGGGGCAGACCCCAAGGAAAATCGCTTTTCCTTCAGAATCAGCTCCTCCAGCCCCGTGTGTGGCACGGGACACGCAGCCCACGGGCTCAGGGACAGGCAGGTCCTGCCCAGAGCAGCTCAGCCTCGGGAAATCCACGGAACCACACCGAGCCAAACCCCAAAAATCCTCGGGAAAGAGCCCAGGACGAGGCTGGGAACTCACGGGAAGTCCAGGTCGTCCTTCTCCAGGGCTTTGAAGCGATAAAGTGCCACGAAATAGTGGGACTGCAGGAACCCCCCTGGCTGTGGCTTCTTGCTCTGGGGGACACAGTGGGGTTGGCAGACAGCCCTGAGGGTCCCGGCAGGGAGATCCCACGGGCTCTGCTCGAGGTTTTGGGGTGCAGGGCCAGGATGAGGGGTACCTTGTCATCTGTTGGGCTCTTCTCAGCCTTCTTGTCCCCCTCGGCGGCACCTGGGAACGGGAGGAGGGGTCACACCTCTCCCCGTGGTGCCTCCCGAGGGTCTCCTCAGCCAACGTGGGGATGCAGTGAGAGCCCCGGGGTGGGGACATGAACTGGGGACCCTCTTTCTGCAGGGCAAACCCGCCCCAAACACAGCCAGGGGGTCCCTCCGTGTCCCCACGGGCTCAGCCCCCCAACCCTCGGCGCTCACCACCCTCAGCTTTGCTCCCCACCGGCTTCGTGGCCTCCGACTCCTCGTCCATCATCGCAGCCAAGGGCTGGAAGGCAGAGAGAGCTCTCAGAACATGCAGAATTTGGGGGGCTGGGGGGGGGGGGGGCGGGGGGGGGGGTCACTGGGGTGCACCGGCAGGAATTTGGTGACAGCCCCACGCCACGCTCACGTTCTTCTTGTCGTCCTGCCCCTTCTTGCGCTCCTTGTTGGCCATGATCACTCCCGTCCGCAGCGTCTCGAACACGGGGTCGCTCCTGTTTGCTGCGGAGGCAGGGGAAGGCTCAGAGGGGGGGTGTCGGGGGTGGGACACCCCAAGATGGGGACAAAAGGGACAGGGGGTACTCACCGAGCTGGTCCTTGGTGCCGGCGTACTGCTGGTCGCTGTAGAGGGGGGAGCTGTACGCCCGCCGGAACCCGGGGGGCTGCGAGGACAGAGGGGGGGGTCGCAGCATCAGCCACACCCCAGAGCCACCTGAGCCACATCAGCCACCCCCCAGAGCCACCTGAGCCACATCAGCCACCCCCCAGAGCCACCCACAGCTGGGGGGACCCCCAGAGGGGGACGGGGGTCCCCTTCAGAGGCAGGAAATGACCAGGGGTGGTGGCACCTGCGTCCTGCCGGGGGTGCCCGAGCTGGGGGCTGGAGGGGGGGGATGTGGCACTCACGATCTTGCCGAAGCAGCGCTGCATCTCCACGTAGGACTGGCAGTGGTGGTGGATGTTGGTTTTGCAGTTCTTGCACCTCAGGCCAAATTTGTTGTTGACTGGCAGCGGCGGGGTGGTGGAAAGGAGAGGGAATGTGACACTGCAGCTGTGAAACGGCCGCGACAGAGCCCTGGGCAGCCTTGACCCCCCAGCCCCAGCCGTACCCGTGGGCCCCCAGCCTTGCCCACGACCCCCAGCCCCCCCCTCAGGACTCACGGACGATCATGCGGGCACAAACATCACAAAATTTGGGCTTTTTGAAGTAATGGTCTTTGAACTTGTGGGGTTTGTCGTTAACGAGTTTCTCCGGTTCGGGAGGGGGCTCGGGCTCCTCCTCCTCTTCCTCCTCTTCGTCATCCTCATAGATGTAGTAGATGGGTCCCCCCGAGGGGCTGACCAGCTCCCCGTTGGGCTGTGGCTCCTGCACCGGCTCCTCCTTGGGTTTTCGCTGGAAAAGTTGCTTCAGCTTCTGCAGCTGCTGGGGCAGGAGGGGACGGACGGTGTGTGGCAGTGCGGGGGAGGAAGGAGGGCAGACCCCCCGTGCCCAGCTCCTCGCCCCCGTGAACCCCTTCACAAGAGGGAGGAGACTCCAGGAACGCTCTGAAGATGGGGATATTCCTGCAAGTCCCGTGAAATCTCTGTGGCTGTGGCTCCTGAGCACGCCGGGGAAATGCCAAGCTGGGAAATGCCCACCCTACACCTGGCTGGATCAGGGTCCCACCAGGCACCCCCGGCCTCCCAAATCCTCCTGGGGCTGTGGCAGGATGATGACAGAGATGGCGCTTCCCCCACCCACCCAAACTGCCCCGTGGGCACCCACTTACCCGGCTCTTGGGTTTCCCACCTGAAGCAGGTGAAGCCGGCGGCTCTGGCACTTCCTTCTCCGTCATGCTGCAAGGGGGAGAGCAGGGATGGCTTTGGCTGGAGCAGCTCCAGCTGCCCCGGTGGTCGGACCGTGCTGGGTGGGCAGTGCCACCCCTTCCCCTGCCCGGGCAGCAGCTCCTGTCCTGGCAGGGCTGGTTCTGCCAGGGAAAACCCCGGGTTCATTCCCAGGGCTGGTTCTGCCAGAGGAAAACCCCGGGTTCACTCCCAGGGCTGGTTCTGCCAGAGGAAACCCCGGGTTCACTCCCAGGGCTGGTTCTGCCAGGGAAAACCCTGGGTTCACTCCCATTGCCCATCCTGCAGCCCCTGCCAGGGCTGGTTGTGCCTCGGTGAGCCCCAGGGCCAGGCTGGAGCAGGTCGGTGCCCAGCCCAGAGTGTGGCACATCCCTGGCTCTGTGAGCCAGCCCCTGGGCTACCTGCATGTGCCCACCTTAGCCCGGGCATCTCCATCTCACCATGCCACTCTTGCCCCTCAGGTGGGGACACTGATGGGCATCATCCAGCTTTGGGCTGCCAGCGGGGCAGGACCTGCTCCTGCATCCCCCAAACCATCCCGGTGCCACCTCAGACAGCCCTACCCACGGTGCTTCCACCCAGAACTCCCTGGTTTTGGTGATACCCACTCCAGTCAGGAAAGGCAATCAGGAAAACCATTAGGATAACCAGTCAAGAAAACCATTAGGAAAATCATCAGGAAAAGCAGGCAGGAAAAGCAGCCAGGAAAACCAGTCAGGGAAAGCAGTCAGGAAAACCATCAAGAAAAATATTCGGGAAAACCATCAGAAAAAACAGTGAGGAAAACCATCAGGAAAAAGCAGTCAGAAAAACCATCAGAAAAACCAGCGAGGAAAACCATCAGAAAAACCAGTCAGGAAAACGAGACAGGAAAACCAGTCAGGAAAATGAGACAGGAAAACTATCAGAAAAACCAGTGAGGAAAACCATCAGGAAAACCATCAGGAAAAACATTCAGGAAAACCATCAGGAAAACCAACGAGAAAAACGAGTCAGGAAAACCATCAGCAAAACCAGTCAGGAAAACCAGTCAGGAAAACCAGCCAGGAAAACCAGTCAGGGAAAGCAGTCAGGAAAAGCAGGCAGGAAAAGCAGTCAGGAAAACCAGTGAGGAAAACCATCCAGGAAAACCACCAGGAAAACCAGCCAGGAAAACCATCAGAAAAACCAGCCAGGAAAACCATCAGGAAAAATATTCAGGAAAACCATCAGGAAAATCAGTGAGGAAAACCATCAGGAAAACCAGTCAGGAAAACCATCAGGAAAATCAGTGAGGAAAACCATCAGGAAAACCAACGAGAAAACCGAGTCAGGAAAACCATCAGCAAAACCAGTCAGGAAAACCAGTCAGGAAAACCAGTCAGGAAAACCATCAGAAAAACCAGTCAGGAAAACGAGACAGGAAAACCAGTCAGGAAAATGAGACAGGAAAACTATCAGAAAAACCAGTGAGGAAAACCATCAGGAAAACCATCAGGAAAAACATTCAGGAAAACCATCAGGAAAACCAACGAGAAAAACGAGTCAGGAAAACCATCAGCAAAACCAGTCAGGAAAACCAGTCAGGAAAACCAGCCAGGAAAACCAGTCAGGAAAACCATCAGGAAAACCATCAGGAAAACCATCCAGGAAAACCATTCAGGAAAACCATCCAGGAAAACCATCAGGAAGCAGCAACGGGAACGGGGAGCGCTGGCGCTGCACGATTGGGGCACCCCCAGGCCCTACAACCCCGGGGGGGGGCCCAGGGTGGGCACAAGCAGGGCAAGAGGGGCACACGGGGGGCACTCACCCTGCGCCTGGCGCTCTCGCCCCGCGCTGGAGAAGCCCCCGAAGCGCGGCCGGTGCCGGGGCCCCGATGGGCGCAGAGCCCCCAGCCCTGGGTGGCGGGGGGAGGGCGGCGGTCCGGTGGCCAGCGGAGTGACAGGGCAGAGGGGGACGACAGCTGAGCCGTGCCGGGGGCTGACGCCGGGAAATTGGAGCCCCAGCGTGCGCCGGGAGGGAGCGGGCGGAGGAGCCGCCGGCTATTTGCGTTGGTGGGTTGCTGGGCGTGCCAGGGGCCCCCCCAGCCTGGCCTGGGATAAAGAAGGAAGCGGGAACAGCCAGGGCTCCAGGAATTGGGCACACGGCGGGTTCCAGGAGCTGGGCACGCCAAAGGCTCCAGCTGCAGTGCCTGCTTTGCCCGGGCATTGGAGGCTGCTGCGGGTTCAGCGGGCAGAGGGGCGGCAGTGGGGTCTGGCAGGGGGTGGAGCGGCTGCCTCGCAGCCCCTGGCACCAAATCCTGCTGGTCCAGGCTCTGCTGGGATGGCAGGAGCTGGGATCCCACTGCTGCCAGGCTGCCTGTGGACAGGGACACAGCCCTGAGGTCCCTGCCTAAGGTGGCACTGAGGTGGGAGCTGGAACCAGCCTGAGCTGGAGCTCCCCTTCCTGGCAGCTCTTACCTGTCCAGCTGCACCTGCTCAGGAAGGCTGGGAGCATCCTGCTACTGCCAGAGGCTCTGGCTGTGCACCCCAAATCCTGTCCCCACCTGCCCCTGCCAGCTCCAGGTGCTGCTGCTGTCAGCAGGAATGTGATGATTCCTGGCAGGGCGCTCCACGCCCTCATTCCTGCCCTGGAATTCCACAGCTGGATGGGGCTGGCAGCTGGAGAAGGGGCCATGAATATCTGTCAGGGGAGTCCAGCCCTGATCCAAATGCTTTGATCCCAGCCTGGGATGCCCACGTTGGCACACCACAGGATCATCCCCCTGCCAGTGTCCCCTCTGCTGTCCCCTCACCCCACTGAGGCAGCCCAGAGCCCCAACACTGGCAGAGAACGGGAAGTTCAAGCGATGGGACAATTTTCCTTTTTTTTCTTTTTATTTAAAAACAACCCCCCAAAAAAAAAAAAAAAAAAAAAAAAAAAGAAAAAAATTCCCCCTCCCCCCCCAACCCCCAGCAAAATAATAATTTGATTAAATAAAATGTGCAGTGAACATACCAATCAACACCTGTATGTGCGGTCCAACACAGTGCTTAAACAAAACCATAGACACAGGGGAGGGGGGCGGGCACGGGCGTCACTCCAAAAAAAAAAAAAACAATAATTAAAAAAAAAAAATCAACTTCTTGTCTCTTAATTATGTTCATATAAATATATCAAGGAAAGAGGGCGAGAGGAAGGGAGGGTGGGAGGAGAAGAGGCCCAGGGGAGTGCCCGGTGCCCTACTGGGAGCTGGCCCGCTCCAGCACCCGCAGGTCGTAGTTCTTTTTGGCCACGCGCAGTTTGAAGCGGCTGAGGGAGTTGTTGAGTCGGAGGGAGGCGTTTTGGGCAGCCAGGGGGCTGGGGAACACGGCCACGATGGTGTATAAGGCAGCGAGGTCACTGTGCCTGCCGTTCTCCGGAGTCCCGCTGTTGTCCCCGCCGCCGCCTCCGTCCCCGCGGCGCCCCTGAGTCTCTTTGAGCCACTGGATTTTGGCACCGGCCATGGCGAGCTGGGTGAAGAGCTTGTCGGCCTCTGTCCGTGTGATGCCCTCGGGCAGGTCTGTCACCTCCAGCACCCGGCCCAGCACTGCAGGGAAGAGCCGCGTGTCACCAGGTGCCACCGGGCTGGAGCAGCCACCTCTCCTGGGCACAGGAACCAAGCTGCTCCCAGCAGGAATCTATTCTTTGAAGCCACCCAATCTACTCTTTGAAGCCACCCAATCTATTTTTTGAAGCCACCCAATCTATTCTTTGAAGCCAGTTATTTTTTTAAGCCCTCCAAACCACCCCTACCTGCTCCCTGGCATGCCCCATCCCAATCCCCCCCTGTGCCCACAATGGTGGTTTTGCTTCAGGAGGAGATGTGGGTATTCCCACAGCTGCAGGGACACCAAGTGTCCTTTGGATAGTCCAGGCTTTCCCAGGGGCTCTGTGCTGTTTTCCTACCCCAAACCTTCAGCTAGCAGGACTGGGAGCCAACCCCACGGTGCCACCCTGATCCTGGCAGGGAGAATGGCTGCACCACGGAGGGTGGTGGCACTGGGTGTGTCCTGTCCTGTGGTACCCAAATCCCTCTGCAGCTCCAGGCTCCAGTTCCTGCCCAGTGGTCCCCAAATCCCTCTGCAGCTCCAGCCCTGCCCTTGGAACCCAAACCCCTCTGCAGCTCCTGGCTCTCCCCTATCCCTGTCCTGTGGTCCCCAAATCCCTCTGCAGCTCCTGGCTCTGAGCTCTGCCCTGTGGTACCCAAATCCTTCTGCAGCTCCAGGCTCCAGTTCCTGCCCAGTGGTCCCTAAATCCCTCTGCAGCTCCTGGTTTTGATCTCTGCCCCTGCCCTGTGGTACCCAAATCCTTCTGCCGCTCCAGGCTCCAGTTCCTGCCCAGTGGTCCCTAAATCCCTCTGCAGCTCCTGGTTTTGATCTCTGCCCCTGCCCTGTGGTACCCAAATCCTTCTGCCGCTCCAGGCTCCAGTTCCTGCCCAGTGGTCCCTAAATCCCTCTGCAGCTCCTGGTTTTGATCTCTGCCCCTGCCCTGTGGTACCCAAATCCTTCTGCCGCTCCAGGCTCCAGTTCCTGCCCAGTGGTCCCTAAATCCCTCTGCAGCTCCTGGTTTTGATCTCTGCCCCTGCCCTGTGGTACCCAAATCCTTCTGCCGCTCCAGGCTCCAGTTCCTGCCCAGTGGTCCCTAAATCCCTCTGCAGCTCCTGGTTTTGATCTCTGCCCCTGCCCTGTGGTACCCAAATCCTTCTGCCGCTCCAGGCTCCAGTTCCTGCCCAGTGGTCCCTAAATCCCTCTGCAGCTCCTGGTTTTGATCTCTGCCCCTGCCCTGTGGTACCCAAATCCTTCTGCCGCTCCAGGCTCCAGTTCCTGCCCAGTGGTCCCTAAATCCCTCTGCAGCTCCTGGTTTTGATCTCTGCCCCTGCCCTGTGGTACCCAAATCCTTCTGCCGCTCCAGGCTCCAGTTCCTGCCCAGTGGTCCCTAAATCCCTCTGCAGCTCCTGGTTTTGACCTCTGCCCCTGCCCTGTGGCCCCCAAATCCCTCTGGCTCCAGTTTGTGCCCAGTGGTCCCCAAATCTCTCTGCATCTCTTGGCTCTGACCTCTGCCCCTGTCCTGTGGCCTCCAAATCCCTCTGTAGCTCCAGGCTCCAGTTCCTGCCCAGTGGTCCCCAGACCCCTCTGCAGCTCCTGGTTTTGACCTCTGCCCCTGCCCTGTGGCCCCCAAATCCCTCTCTGCAGCTCCAGCCCCTGTCCTGTGGCCCCCAAATTCCTCTGCAGCTCCTGGCTCTGAGCTCTACCCTGTGGCACCCAAATCTCTCTGCAGCTCCTGGCTCTGAGCTCTGCCTTGTGATACCCAAATTTCTCTGCAGCTCCAGCCCCTGCCCTGTGGCCCCCAAATCCCTGTGCAGCTCCAGCCCCTGCCCTTGGTACCCAAATCCCTCTGTAGCTCCAGGCTCCAGTTCCTGCCCAGTGGTCCCCAAATCCCTCTGCAGCTCCTGGTTTTGACCTCTGCCCCTGCCCTGTGGCCCCCAAATCCCTCTGCAGCTCCAGCCCCTGCCCTTGGTACCCAAATTTCTCTGCAGCTCCAGCCCCTGCCCTTGGTACCCAAATCCCTCTGCAGCTCCTGGCTCCAGCCCTGGCCTGGGCTTAGCAGAGCTGCTGGAGGATTCTTTGCTAATATTAACGTGGCACGTAGGGACCATGCCAGGGGCAGGAGGGGGGAGGCAGCTCTTAAAGGGCCCCTGCAACCAGCTGTGGGTGGTGACACTGAGGTGACATGGGGGACAAGCCTCCAGAGGGTCAGTGAGGGCTGCTCCCTCCAAGCTGTGGGTCCCTCCCTTCCCAAGGACCCAGTGGAGACACTCTGGACATGGGTGGAAAGTTTTCACTGGAACCCTCAGCTCTCACAGCCACTCAGAGATCCCAAATCTCAAAAATGAGGCTCCCATGGGAAAGGGAGGCATGAGTGGGAAGAGTGACTTGGAAAAGCAGTGGTGGGAGTGAGATCTCAGAGTTTGGACACTCACTTTCTGCTGAGAAAGAGGAATAAAATCCCAGCTCTGCCAGCTCCATCATCTCCACCCTCTGAGAGGCAGGAATAGCATCCAGGTGTCCTCCTCAGAGGTTTTACTCCCTGTTCCCCCACCTCCCTCAGGGCACAGCAGGCTGGGGCTGGAGCTGCTGCATCCCCAGCCTGCACCCACCTGGGCTGGGGGGTGTTTGTGGGTGTGGGGAGGAGGGACTGGCAGGAACCACCCTCCAAAACCAGCACAGGGTCCTGTGGGACGCTGGTGTGGGCAGGGATGGCACCTGGAGTCTCCAACACAGAGTTCTGTGGGACGCTGGTGTGGGCAGGCATGGCACCTGGAGTCTCCAACACAGAGTTCTGTGGGATGCTGGTGTGGGCAGGGATGGCACCTGGAGTCACCAACATCCCTTTGTGGGGACATCAGAGGGCAAAAAGTGGCCGGAGGGGGGTCACTTGCCTACGTCACTTGTCCCCAGGTCGGTGGACGCCGACTTCAGGGCCTGTCTCTTGCTGCGGTTCCCGTGTTTCATTCCAGTCTGCCCCTTGAAGGAGACAAAGAGCACCGTGTCACCTCAGGGGACATTGTGGCTTTGTGATGCCCACAGAAGGGCTGGGGAAGGGACACCTGGCCTGGCTGTACCTGGTGTCCTGTGTAGCTGGGCTGGTTGTGGAGCAGCGGCGGGGGACACAGGGACAGGTTGTACTGCAGAGGTTGGCCCAGCAGCGAGTACCTCCCATCACCTGCACAAGGAGCCCGAATTTGTGGGGTTCCCAGGAAAAAAATCCCACATTCCCAGCCCTGGGCTGTCCCCACAGGCCTCTCCCTTACCTTGTGCTGGGCCCATGGGCCTGGGGAACTGTGTGAGGACGGGGAGGGGGCTCAGCCCCGTGCACACGCTGTTGAGGTTGGTGACGGGCGACGGCGTCGGGGACTGCGTGG